GAACACCTAGAAACAAACCATAAATACCTGGAAAACCTGGTAGCCGGAAATAATAGGCCACTAACGAAAGGAGTCGGTTTTGAAAACCAGCGCCTGTTTTGGGTTGGGGTTTGTTGGGACTTCTTAGGGGTTTGTTGTCTGATACCAAAGGATTGTTCTTAAGAAGAGCTCTGCTCTGAGTCACCATGATTTGAAGCATGTCCAACAGCATCGGGCCCTTCATTTTTTCACTTCGGCGGCAAGTGAGTCCACACGGCCGTGAGGTATTTCTTCAGTGTCTGACTGTGAACTTGCCGGGTGCTAATGGTCATTGTCTTAGAAGCAATGCGACCAATAAAATCCTCATCCATTTGCGTCCCCTCGCTTAGCGGGGACAGCGTCCATCGGCGGCCAGAGTTGTAAGCACCAACCAGCATGTCCACGATGTGTATGAGCGCGTGATATTTTGGCGTGACTTTGAAGCGAGTCTTCTTTAGCTGCAATGCATGACTTGATACTTCCATATAAGACTTCAAAACTGCCAAACCAGCCTCGGCGATGATCTTGCACCGCTCTGTTGAAAGCCATAAGCCCGAGCGGTACAATGTCCGCATAAAAACATTGGCAGCACGCAAGCATCGAAGAATCCCATGCAAGTACTCATCCGATTCGCTTGTTTCCGCGAGGTGATTTGCCCAGAAAGCTTCAAGAAAAGAGCACATAGCCGCCGTATCGGCCCCCTTGAACCAGTTCCTTAGACTATGTATATAACCATGCAAACAAACCTTGGTAAGAAAACTGTATATGTATATATGGCTATCCTACAGAATCGAAAACGTGCTCCAAAGAAGAAAGGCACCCAACCGGATAATCGAAATCCGCTGCAAATCCCAAGAGATGCCGGGTGAGCGCATCCATATGCAAAGGCGTCTTCGTGGCTTTGCAGTGCTGCACGGCCAAAACATATATTGCATCAAGCTGCGTCGGAATGTCACCAGGACCTGCCAATGCATAGTCGGTGATGACAACCTGATGGCATAGATTTCGAAAGTTGGATGACCAACTTACATCTATAGTACATTACCATAACAAAGGAGCAACAAATAAACTTGTGAAGCTAGGTGGCAATGCCGCTTCCAGCAAGTTCGGCGAAGACTCCTTTATGAAGTGTATGAAAAGTATCAAACTTATGCATGAACTCCTTCGCGGGCGACTGCGGCACGCGACACAAAGCACCTTCGCAATCCCAGGGTGGACATGTCAAGTATGTATCTCGCCACGCAGCCTGTTCTGTATAATCGTTGGCATTGTAGCCTTGCTCTCCAGCTCGGCAAAGATGGCAGATTCCACTCGTCGCCGAAACCTGAAACACCCCCTTGCGGCAGAAGTGTCTTGTCAAGTTTCCGATGCGAGCTTGTATTGGCCAGTCGCCTTTAAGCCCAACCAAAGCTGCGTAGAAGGTTGTTTGCTGTCCTGCAAGATTCACTGTGACACCATTGTAAAATAAATCCACAAGCTCGTCGGCAAGTCCCTGCATGATGCCATCGAAGTAAGATTTATCTTTCTTGTAAAACCTCTTGTGGCAAACTGTGTATAAGAATCTTGTAGCATACGAACTTCCAGTGTAGTTCAGTGCCATTGCAGACTCACAATCATCCGATGATGCTAGGCCAAAGCCCAAAATGGATTGGAAGTTCCATATCATGATGGCAGTTTTTTTCAACGTTTGCCCCTCGTCAGCGTGGAGCTGCAATGGCAAAACCTGTGCCATGCGGCCCCTGTGCTCACTGAAGACTGCGTGCTGCGGGTCGTGAGCCTTCCATCTCCTCCAGAATCTCGGAAGAATTTCTGTGTATGAGCCGCTGTTTGTAGAGCCCCATAGTCGAGAAAGTTGGTTTCCGTCAGCTAAAGCTTTAAGAAAATGCTTGATCGGCAGTACCGGGTGCATCTTGCCATTGCCAACGTCCAGCTGCTGTATGTCGATAGGACATGACAGGCCAGTCTTTGCAAACGACTTAGAGGAGCTGCTCTCGTGCTTGGTCCGGGAAGCACGATGTAAATCTTGAAGAAGCACTGTACTTTTCAGATCATCAGCCGTGTCTGGGTCGGCTTGCGAACATTCTTCGAAGAAGCCCGAAGCGATGCTACAGAGGAGTCGGTCAGAGACCTTCAGGGAAATAACTTTTATAAGTTTGGTTGCTGGCTGGAGCTTCGTATTATGGGTTATGGGCTTATATCCGAAATATTTCTGTAAAAAGGTTTGGAGCTTATCGGATTTAGGGGTTTGTAAAAATATTGAATGGGCTTCAGGCTCACAAATACTTGTATTCGCGGCCCCAACCCCTGCTCCACGAGCACGTGCCAAAGCTTTGGAAACGGGACCGTGAGGTGCAGCTTCAGGAACATCAGTGGCCGCACCTGCGCAGCACAAAGTTCGCTTACAGATCGGACTTCAGGTCGTGCATGGGATCAAAGTAGGCAACTCCCCTTTTGAGCTGCGATGTGCGCATGCGTTGCCCCGCGGGAACTGACAGATTAGATCATATGTCGTATATGATCGAAGCCTTGCAACTACAGCACAAGTTTTTTTGTGCTTGCAGCGAGAAGTGCTTTCCCCATCATCTTGGATTGTTCCATCCAAGGGAACCCTGAGTTCATGGAGCCCGGATATTGTGTATATCTATAGGCCCATAAATAGATTATAAAGTTCACACGTTGTGCTCCGTGGGGCAAGCCTACTTCCCCTTGTTCGCACCCTTAGGCTTGCTACCGTTCTTAGCTTTCGCTTTAGCCTTAGCCTTAGCTTTGGGGGCTTTCTTCGGCTCTTCCTCCTCAGCCTCACTTTCATCATCTGGCTGATCGCTCTCGCCCGCTTTCCCTTTGGCCTTTGGCACCGCTCGAAGAACTGTCCTCGGAGATAAGTTTAGGGTTGAGGGTTTAGGGTTGAGGGTTTAGGGTTGAGGGTTTTGGGTTTATAAGGTTTATGGGGCTTCACAAGAATTGTCAACACCTGTTTTGGGGATTTTAGGGTTTATGAAGGTTGGTTTGCAGGAAGTAGCGAACCATACAACATTTAGGGTTGATTCATGGTGTCCTCCTCAACTTCTTCTCTTCCATAGTGATTCGACTTGACCTCATCAAACCGAGGGGGATGACATCACGATGAGCACTGGCGCTGGCTGCCGGATTATGATATATGGAGGCTTGCATGGGGCTGCGGGCAGGGCACAATTTCTCCACCATTGCCAGCGACTGCTTCAGCTTTCCCATCGCCCTGGGTAGCACCGGTAACCCTAAAGACCTCAACAAAACCAGATGCCTAGGAGAGCACATAATCTGAGATAAGGGGCTCTTTGCTCGGATCATCCTTGCTGTGTTCCGCACGGATCTCTGCAAGGTCATCATGCAATTTCATCAATTGCTCGCCCTGCTCCATGAGCAATTTCCCATCCCTTAGATCAGGCAAAGGGATCAATCAACACATTATATAAACTATATTGCAACTAGACGTCTTGCCGCTTCCATCCTTCTTCTTCTTGTGCTTGAGCTCTTCGAGAGTCTTGTCGACTTTGATTCGCACCTTCAGAATCTCACCCAAAATCTGAGGAATCTTCTCGATGTCCTGCACAAGCTGATTCTGGATTTAGGGTTTAAGGGCTGGATATAGGATTTGATTGGGGTGTGGTTTTGCATATAACGGACTCAAACTGAAAGAATATGCTATGGTAGACAAAAGACATCCAAAGCCGTTTCCACTTCGGCTTGCTTCTCCTTCTCCTCTCGCTTCTTCTTGTTGGTTCGGGGAGTAGAGGGTCGGCTTCTCCTGGATTTTTTTCGCTTGAACTTAGGGCTGACACTGCCTCGTTCATCTTCATCGTCGCCATCATCTGTATCCTGGGACTCCTCCTCATCTTCCTCGTCGTAGCAGGGCAACGATTCGTTGCCGAGCACAGGATTGGGGAGGCTTGCGTTGTTGTCGATGATTTCGACGTACTGAGTGAACTCCTCCTGGTGGCTCCGGGATAGGCTTCCACTGGTTCGCAAGTCGATCCAGTATTCCAGGATGTGGCGTTGGTACTTGTCTCTCCTGTAAAGCAAGCTCAATCATAAATTCATAAATTGATTATAACGAACAAGCCCCCTCGACGAAAGCATGCTTGTCAAGGCCTCGTGAGCTGCCGCTTCCTGGCCTTGGTCTTCGTGCAGTAGGCGATGATGGCCTTGATGCGATCCCTCGGCGCCAAGATTGCATTGGGTTAAATAGTTTATGGGGTTGATAGGACACCGAACTGCATAATATAAGTTGAATTGAGCTGCTTGTCAAACTTAAGTTCCGTCTTCATCGCACTCTCGCTGTAGAAGCCACTATCAATGACCACACGTCCTTCTTTCACATTGCGGATCACCACTTCCATGCGCTGGTTGAAGGACTCCTAAGCTGAATAGTAGTTCGATCTGGTAAACAAGATCACACATCGTGCCTTTCATGCAATAGAGAAGCTTTGTCGCCCTTGCAGTTGATCAGTGCCACAATCAGCTGCTTGCGGGTCTTCGTATTTTTCCATCGGTCAGCCACTTCCGTGCTGACTGCCAAGGTGCCGCGCTTGGCCGACGGGTTGCACATTCGACGCAGCGTGGCTTCATAGTTCTTGTACTCGCGCTCGGTGATGCGGATCGTATTGGTTCTCTTGGCCTGCCGGGCATACCCTAAACCCTAAACCCTAAACTCTAAACCCTAAACCCTAAACCCTAAAACCCTAAACCTATATATATATATATATATTATTTATCATAATATAGAACGATTATTGGAAAGTTTATCGGGTTATTAAGATGCTGCAACCTTGGGGTCTTTCATCTTCTTGCCATTCTTCTTTGTCGTTGAAGGACTTGAGGACTGTGACGGGCTAGGGAGTTCCCGTGTCTTGGACTTGCTCGGGGTTCTGCTGGGCTCTCGGCACTTCTCCGGGGTTCTGCTGGGCTCTCGGCACTTCTCCGGGGTTCTGCTTGGCTCTCGGGGCTTCTCCGGGGTTCTGCTGGGCGCTCGAGGTTTGCTCGGGGTTTTGCTGGGCTCTCGAGACTTTGCCTCCTTCGGGGTTTTGCTGCGCCTTGCAGGCTTTGCTTTGCTTGGGGTTGTGCTGGGCTCTCCTTGCTTTGGCCTGCTGGCGTTGCTGCTGGCTTCTCGCTGCTTTGAGCCTGTGCTGCTTGCTGTCCTTGTGTCGGCCACTGCAGAGGCTGTGTTCATCGGGCTTGTGCTTGAGTCACGGGGCTTTGGGGATGCATCGGGCTTGGGAAGATTCATGGCCTTGGTTTCAGCCAAACCTTCGGTGGACTTTGGGCACTTCGGGGCTTCCGGGGACATTTCCGGGGAAGCCCTTTCCGAGTGGCGGCCTCGGCTTTTCCTTCTGGACTTGACTGGGGAGCCAGGGCTCAGCACTATGGGGGCGAAGATTGATGGAGTCCGGGGGGCTGCTTTATCGTAGCCTTTCGCCTGGGTTCCTTTGCTGGCTTCAGGGCTTTGAAACAACTTTCGGCAGGGCTCCGGGGAAGTAGCGCCATCCAACTTAGGACTGCCCTCTAAAGCTTCTGCAGCTTCAGGCAGCCCATTGTCCAAATACGGATCTTCAGGGAGAGCTTCATCAGGCACCTCATCACCCCGAACATTCTACACTGATTCTACACAAGCACACACACACACACACACACACACCTTGGAAAAAAGCCTCAACTGCAAGCACCGAACTTCTTGAGATAAGATGCTGTGGGTGTGATCGGAGCTTCTTCCTCTCTCTTGACCAGATGGCACTGGAGAAGTTCACGAAGCTCGTTGAAGTCCTGAGTCACCGGGGCTGCACTATGTTTGAAACGAGTAGGACTATAGGTATAACTTATGTATATTATGGCTGGGGACATCTTGCACTGCATTAAGTAAACATGCTGCCTGGTCGCACAGTCTACATCCATAATCAGCTCGTCGTCTGAGCTCTCGGGGCCCGGGGCTTGGGAATGCTGCGGTTCTGCGGAATGCTCAGGCTCCGTAGTTGAATGCTCGGGATGCAGCGGTTCTGTGGAATGCTCGGGCTCCGTAGCTGAATGCTGGGGTTGCTGGGGTTCTGCGGAATGCTGAGGCTCCGTAGCTGTGGAATGCTTGGGCTGCGTTGCGCTTGAGGGCCTGTGTTCAGAAGCTTTTGCACGCTTGGGTTCCGAAGGTTGGGCGGGTTTGGCATCTCGGGAAAGCTTCGGTAGCGACGCTGCTGTGTGCTCGCGTTCGGGTTCCGGTGTCCCCTGTTCTGAATCGGGGTAGGCTTGCTCCCAAAAGGAATAAGACCTAGGCTGTGCATCCGTGGACACTGGTCGCTGGATGCTCTGGGGCTTCTCACTTCTCACGGGGGTGGGAACGGGCCTGGCAGGAGGAGCGGGGTCTACCGGTGCAGCAAAACCAGCAACGGGTCCGCACTCCTTCAAAGCCTCGAGCTTGCGAGCCCTCGTCCTGAGGCTCTCCAGCATGGACTGGGCTGCCTCGGATGGAATTATAAGTTATAGTGGGTTGTATAGGTTTGATAACATGGGTGCAACTAAGATACTCGCAAGTCCTCATCAATATTCTCTCGTTCTTCCAAGCATGACGGTTCCTCCTTAACATCTTGGGCCTCCATAAAGGATTGTCCAGCGTAAAGGGACCGACAGCTGATGGATCTGGTCTGGAGGCGTAGGGGCCTGGCCTTTCCCGCCATGGTTAAACACTGAAAAATCCTGTGAACCCGGGCCACGGAACAGCGTAGAAGCTGGAGGTTTTAGAATTACGATTTTTTATGGCACTTTTACGCTTTTTTATGGCACTTTACGCTTTTTTACGGCACTGCGTTTTTAGTCTAAATTGACCCAGAACTGTCTTGAAATCTTCAAAACCTGAAAAAAACCATCCTATCCCCTAGAGGAAGAGCTGAAACCAGTCCAAATACGGCACCCCAGACGCCAAACTGTATCTGTATAGTAAAAGACCCGAAACCAGGAAGCTTCCCTTGAAAACCCCTTCCGAGACCCGAAGCTATCCTGCACTACTGAACACAAACCTGGACAAGACCCACAGAATTCTCGAAGTCGCCTGAAGAAACCCCCGTTGCCCTAACCCATGTATATAGACCTCAGCCACTCCCACAAGCTCGCCAGGAAGCAGCAGACGAGTCAGACATGCACATGTTTGTCTACATCTGTATCTATATACTACGTGTTTCCCAGGCATGCGTATATATATATATATATATATGTGCGTGTGTGTGCGTGTGTATGCATGCCCGTGCCCACAACTAACTGCTCACGGTTCATATATATATATATATATGCTAGCATAAGAGCGAACAGTTTCAAGACCAATACCTACCCACTCTACACATAAAGCGAAATGGATCATGTATTGTACATATACGTATGTATAATTCATACATGAGCACAGACACATAAAAATGCATATATATTCATACATATATAAACATACTTCTATGCATATACATAAACATACCATATACATGTACAAGTACATATACATATACATACATATATGCATACATATGTATATATATATATATATTGTTACATACCTATATTGAAAAACGATTGTGTATCTGTAAGGACATATGTACATGTGCGTAGGTGTGTGCGTTTATATACAAGGTTTCCCCAGCACATCTATACACACGACTCAGGCTATCTATAAGTCACGAGAGCCAGAAAGAGAAAGGGGAGATATA